TAAGGTCTGGGATTGCTCCATTGAGCTTCATTAACAGGTGGGAGGGGTTTACGCAGATTCAAATGATTGGATCTGAGTTTACCGTCACGTATGTAATGCGCCTGAATGAGCCACTAGCACTTAGCATTTAGCCTAGCCATCTCCTTTGTCGCTAACAGAGCCCATGGGGAGTAGAGCCACAACATATTTGCCAGCAATGAAACTTGCCTTTTTCTCCAGCTTTATTTTCTTGATATTTGGAGCCAAACCAGAATGGATTACTTCACCATCACATGTGTCAAGAGTCGTCATCTACATATTTGTTATTTGTTGATGAATGAAACTCATCAAGGAGGTACCCTACAAAATGTGTATTCAGGATATTACATTTAGATAACTGTAATCAGATTATGTTTACTTTACAAACATCGGAACAATTTATATATATAATTTTCTAATAATGATATCAAATAAGATTAAAAATGGTCAAAAAAAAATTGCTTTGATCAGATGCTGCATATATTTATTGTTTATTTGGTTGGGGCCGTGCATGTTAATGAGCACACCTCTCCGGATAGTAGCTGTTAACGCTGGTTCAGCCACGGTTTCTCCTTCGATGATAAATGTACACTACAAATTCTGCTTAGATATATATAAAAAGGTTTAATATATAAAAGACAGAATACAGGATACAGGATACAGACAAATGGCAGACTAGTTGCTCCAGTCTGGGCCCTGCTCCCTGGAAAGCCAAAAGCAAAAGACCGCGCTTCAGGAACAGGCTATCGATGATAAGCACACAGTCACATGACATGATAATTGAAGACATATGTCCCAACATCCTTAGGTGAAGACAATACCTCTTTTCTGTTCAGGACACACAAATAGCCCCTGTGTAAATAAGCCTGAGGCTACTCTAAACAGATGTTCTCTGCGTTCTTGCCTTAATTTAACTTCCTGTGTTTAATGGCTGGGGAATGGTTTCACACATTCTTCACTCTGCTTACTACTAGTTTTTAGATCCTAGACTAAACGTTACATTTATTAATATTATAATAACACAATAACATACTCCATTGACAGTAGCCTTGGACGAACTGGCATCCACTGATCCACAGTCACACCCACAAACACTCATTCACCCTGCTTTTAGTGGTAGGGTTAACCGGAGCACCCAGAGGAAAACCTACACAGACAACGGGGAGAACAATTCTACACAGAAATGCCCTATATGGAGGTGGAATCAAATCCAAGACCTTCACGCTATGACGCAGAAGTACTACCCACCGTACCACTCTGTCCACGCATGATAGAGCTTTAGGGAACACTGGAAAAAACAGACCCTTGTCCAGTCTCCAAAAGGCGCCATCCAAAAATGGGGGGAAAAAACATCAAAAACAACTGCCTTCCTTGACCTTCCTCCTTCATTCTGATCCTTATCCTTCTGTTGAGGGAGCAGAGAGGAGAAGGGAGCAGGAAAGGGAGTCGTCCATGAATCCAGATTCGGCTAAAAAATCTTACCAAAACAGTAGCGGCTCAGGGAAAAAAAAGCTACACCTCCCACAAACAGGAAAATCCTCTGCGCGGATTCATATGAGAGATGTTTCAGACGTTACTGTCACTGTTGTAAACACGACTCACAACTCAAGCTCACACGACAAGAGTAAATGATGCTGATTAATAAAGAGCTGCACTAAAGCTGCACCGTGTGAAAAGTTTAAACCTTATATAACAGAACAGGGCAGAGATTAATGTCACGTGAAGAACATAATGTCCCACTAAATCCTGTTCTTTGGTCCAACAGCAGTGATGCAGCCGTCACTGCCTCACCGCCGCTGCAGCCAATGTATTTATGTAAATGAGACATGCAGAGTTCACCTTTTGTTCGCAACACGTTAAACACTTTATAATGACATCAGGTAGACTACAGTCATTCTTCTGATTGGCTGTTTTTGTTTCAAGATGACGTCCTGAGGGTCTTATGCTACACTCAAGATCATAAAGGAAGCATTTTTATTTTTTATTTTCCTACTCTTCCTTAACTGCCACATCCAGACAGTCCAAATCCTGGCAAACGGACAAACAGCTCGCGGATCAATGATACAGTAAGTGTATTTATAATGTTCAGGTACCCTCACCTTTCCTGCAATTTAACCACCTGCTCTGTCACCTGCCAATCCGACCGATCACAACTCTCCAACTGCATCAGTCACAGACAATCATCAGCCAGTTGAAAAGGAGAATATTCCCAGCAGAAGCCCTCTCTACAGATATGCAACCCTCCTCCTCAGCAGCAGTCTCCACCGCCACAAGTCGAAGCCCTGAGGCCTAAGCGCCTAATCAATCATCTCAACTCAATACTAGTACGTCCAAATTATGCAAATGAACAAGAAGGTGAGTATTCAGGGTACTCTGATTGGACCATGTGACGGTATATGTTACAAAATACATTTTAATGTAGGAATTTAATACTAATGTAATTAAACACATTTCCCAAGTACTGTACTCTTTCCACCACTGCAGAGGATGAAACTCATCAATGTTACACCTGGATAAAAATACATCATAAAAACAAGTGTATAATGGGTTGGACAACAGAACTCTGAGTGATGTCACAGTCTCCAAAGTGACGGCACCAAGAGTCACTTACGGTCAAAAGCACAATCTGTAATTAACAGATGTAAGCGTGTATTATGTAAGTCTTCAGACTTTGGCTCCAGGTCTGACCCAAGTCCATGTTATCTTGTTAAGTCTGAAGGTATCTCATAACAATTCAAAATCACTATTAGTGTTGTTGTGAGTTGCCAAGAAACACTTTTGGGACTGTTTTCATCATATACAGATTTCAATTGTTTATTGCAGAAAATATGTTATCGCTTTGACAGTGTGTATTCATGAACAGCAATGCTGGTATTACACTAAATTGTAGACTTGTCAGTTTGTAGTCTCACACTCACACATTTGTACATGTCTTTAGTGGTAGAGGAACCGGAACACCTGGAGGGAACCGGAGCACCTGGAGGGAAACTATGCAAAATAACATCGGACATCACATAAAAGTATAGTTTCTAGTGCATACACAGGCAATATTCTGATTAGGCTTTAATTAGCCCATGACAGTAACATTATAACCTAGACATGTTCTCTTACTGTACAGATACGTCTGCACTATCAATATGGCCTTATTGTGGGGTCAGAACCTTCAGATTCAGGAAACACTCTACTAGAAGGCTTGTATAATATATTATTAATTATTAAAATGAGAGGCACATAACTTTCCCTTTCATGTTCTATACTTAAAGAACTTTCTAGACTGTGGTACTTTTATCCATTTCTCTTTAAAACACATTTATCTGAACAAGTGCAGGCTCTCTTTAGGTTAGGGACATAGTTAATACAAGGCAAGAATTAAACATTTTTCTCTCTGCCATTTGGTCCTGCTGTAATCCACTGCACTTCGCTGCCCTATTCTGTCATCATCCTACCATCCTGTCAAAAATGCATGATTAAATTCTTCTCTTTTAAGGCCCATCCATTTCAGAAATGTGGCAGATGCCCATTTTGCTAGTCGCTCTGGCCAGGACCTTTGCATTGACTCCAACTTGCATTTCTTAAATGTGTACACCATTTCATTTGTATTCCCTGCATCATGAAATATATAGATTGCATGATAAATATACATTACAATAATTAAGTTTTTGTGCTGTTTAAACTGTTAAGATAGCAAACTATTCCAACTGATGTATAGTGATTTATACTGGGGAATGTCCCTTTGTGAAATTAAATCTATATCCCTGGGAGAGCTCAAAAATGCATGTAATTTTGTTAGATAGATATTTATAAAACACATTGTTACAAAAAAAATATATATACACAAATGTGCTGTCATAAGGGAACATAAAGGAGGACCCAAAATGAAGGACTGCAAAAATAATACAATTTAATAATAAAACCAAGGCAAAAAAAACAAGCTCAAAAAATACAAACTGAACATAAAGGAAAATAATACATGAGTTGACAACGAGAGGGACAGAGTACAGGGCATTTCACTGGGAGGCTCAGATCCAGGCAGGACAGACCATCAACTGAACAGAACAGGAAGTAAAACTTCACAAGAAAACTGAAATTACAAAAACAAAGCAACGTTTCAAATAACACAAATCCACACCATGACATGTACACATTTGTGCCATATAGTTTAGCCAATAATTTCTTTATAAAATGATTTCAGTCATTATAAGTGGGCTGCCCATTCTATGGAGCACAAGTCGCATGGAGTAATTTTTTATTTTATTTATTGAACATCTAACCAGGATGGTCCCACTGAGTTTGAATCTGAAGTTCTTGATCCCAGAGAGAAGGGCAAGAGTGGGTGCAGGGAGGGGTTTATGGGGGACTATTGTATATGTAGGGGTAGGGGAAACTGGAGCACCTATAGAGGAGAGCAACACAGCCACTGGGAGAACATGCACATCCTGTGAAGCACAAACACAAATCACAGAGCCACCAGATCGCCTGACCACATGACAACAGACCCGCTGGTGTGTTGGAGCATCCGGGTCAATACAGAACTCCATTCATTTCTATTGAGAAACAGTAAAGTATCTTCTATTCACACGCCGCAACAATTCAACACTGGGCCTGGCTTGAAAACACCTTTATAGTCTGTGCAGTCTGTGCAGTTATTTGCTGCTAGATTGAGAATCCCAATACAGAGTAATGCAACAATAATCAATCTGGTGGCGCCAGCGGCACCTTCTGGAATACTGTGAGTACCATCCTGCAACTTTTACGACCATCACATGCCACCGGGTCCATGAAGGTGAGTCTTGTTTGGTGGTTTTCGTGACATGTTTTATTCCATTTTTAGCTCACGGTCCAATTGTCAAACTATGAATGCCCATCTGGAAGTATCCAAGAAAGTGCCTTTGAGAAACAAACTATTGCCCGACAAATATCCTGCTTAAAGTCACTCCTGTCCATAAAAGAATGAAGCCTCCAAGGTTTTCAGAACTGCTTTGTCATTGATTGCAAAGGCTTCTTGTGACCAGCATGGAAAATGGGTCAACTCCAAGTCTGCGGAGGAAATGAATACAAAACACAATGTTACACCAAAATCCCTCACCATATGCCAGAGCAGAAAGAGCAGCGACTGTTTAATTACCTTGGGCTGATGAGGGGTCTCACATCACTGCTCTGTAGTGGTGGGATTCCTCTACACACACTCCTCTGGATCCATTCCTTTCAACACACAGAACACCACGAGTTGGACATCGGACTTGTTTGTATGCTATAAATAGTGAACTCTGTACTCACCCGGTACAGGCATTGCTGCTTTTTGTCTGGAGAAAATTGCGATACAGTTTTGTACCAGGCCGAAGCAATGAGTCCAAAAGGTGTAGTTGCAGTCTCCAGAGCATACACAGGTACACACATACACATTCAGCTGGCAGCAAATGTCACAACAATGGTCCACCCAATGTCTCCTGTTGTAACCCTGCGCTCTGCATTCTTCCTCAGCTGCAATCCATGGGCTGCGAGTCTTGCAAGAGTGTAGGAGCCCCATGGGTGAACCTGTTATAAACAACACATCGACAAAGGAGACACAGAGATATTGCTGAAAATCACAATCCGGAAAAATAGCCGTCTTCTTTTAAAAGTACAAAAACAACTCTGGATGTATAAAACAGACTTTTAGTGTAGAAAAGAAGCTAGTAATTGGCTGTCTGGCTGTCTTAAACGCTACAGAAGTAGTTTCTGTTCTCTTGAGTTAGCTCTGTTTCTCTCACATGCTGTTCCTGCTTATGTCCTCATTGGGGGTCCCATATTTCCTCTTATACTGCTCTCAGATACCCGCGGCCCATACGAGCTATATTCTCGGAAGCAACAATAAAACACGCCTTTTCAGATGGAAAAAAAGCAAGTGGGACGTCATTTTAGTGATTGCTTAATAGCCAAAACTTCTCTTAAGACGTTTTCTGTGGTTCAGGAGCTTGAAATTGGTCTAAAAAAGCTCTTTGTAGGAAGGGGTTGTCATGGGAGCATTAAGATAGCTTTGATAATCAGTGATGCAAAGCGAATGGTCTGTAGAAGACGTTACAAAACTGAACAAAGCCTTTCTTGAGTCGTCTCATTAGAATTGACCCCAACAGGGTTCGTCCGAGGACATGATAATGTGTTGTTAAAGCATAAACCAGAGATTAGATATAATAATAATAATAATAATACATTTTATTTCTTAGGTGCCTTTCTTGACACTCAAGGTCGCCTTACATACAAGTAAAAAATTATTGTGATATTGTGAGTACCCTATATATGAAGAGGTAAATAAAGTCTATCGGTCTTGTGGCGCAATCAGCCTTAACCTACAATAAGCGCGATTGTATTGATAATTCTCTTTCTATGAACTACTGTCTAGGAAGTGAATCAGATAAGTTTACTGAGAAACATAAAAACTCATTACAAAATATGGTTTTTGACCTCATTTGTGCCATTAAGAAATTATCTCACACCAAAACTGAAACAACAAACACATTCTCTTGACATTGTTGAAGCTAAATGAACAATTATGCATTTATTTCATCCAATGGTCGAGAAACCGCTTGAGAAACCGAGTCTGCTTGCTGAGCCAACTTCTTCACAGTGTCATTGATTTACTTTTAGACCTTGTTTTTCAAAAGCTAATAATTACGTTGTAAATGTCTCTTTGAAACAGATTGCTTTTATATATTTCAAACAGATATGGCGTTCCCTAAGGACACCTGCTTTATCGAGGACAGACATAAGACGACATCTGCTCGCACGGCGCCTTTTCTTACGTGTATACTTTCTTGTTTTTCAGCATTTCTTGGTCGTTCCCTGTAACACAAATGTCAGAAGGCTGCGCGTGACAGGTGAGCGACGGCGAGGCAGATTTTGACCTTGACGTTGGCGAGTGAAGTGACAGTAATAAAAGGCTGCTGTGAGCTATTGTTGGCCCTGAGGCATCCATTAATGAACGACATGAAACAGCGGAGAGATATCGGTACCAGGGAGGGAAGGGAAAGAGACTGGAGGGCGAGGGCCTGATGGAGGACAGGTGACAGTGGCCCACACAGACGGTAAAACTAAAGCGTGAGGAGAGATGCAGCAGCAGTTATATGTGTGCAGCCTGTCAAAACATCCACTGCAACAAAACACCAGCTGTGAGAGGGAACGGAATCCATGATAAGTTACCTGAGGAATAGTATGTCTATGTTTACTCAACTTTAGTTCTGGAAAAAGGTTTCTGGGGATTTTCAAATGACTTTCTTGTTGTTCTTTGCCAGTGCAGCGAGGTCTAAGGTCTTGCAGTAAAACCACATTGGAATACATCCGCAAAGTCCCCAGTGTGCACAACCCAAGTACAGAAACAGGAAAGAATTGACACTGTGATCGACTAAAACAGTTTCAATTCAAAGGCAAGATCATTAAAGTACTCTGTTTAGATTAACATTAAGGGATCCTGTATTCTCTTAATCCTAATCTTAATCTAAACAGAGTACTTTAATGATAATTCAATACAAAGGCAAGATCATTAAAGTACTCTGTTTAGATTAAGATTAAGATTAAGGGATCCTTTATTCTCTTAATCCTAATCTTAATCTAAACAGAGTACTTTAATGATAACAGTTTGTGGAAAGAAGCTGTAAGCATATCGAGACGTCCTGCATCTCAGCGAACGATATCTTCTGCCAGAGGGAAGAAGCTGGAACATGGCTTTTTCAGAGTGGCCTGGATCCTGGACATTTAAGGACATTTATTAACACTCATGGACATTGGTGATCCCGCCCCTTTAGACCAATGACTCCTATGTGTTTGTTATTATTGTCCTGTCTTCTAACTGTTTGATTGTCTGATCTATAATCAAGGTTATACCCATGTGCTTCACCAAAACCAAACATTTGATACACGATTAGCTCTGGGGAGGCTAATACGAAGCTACCACAAGACCATTCGTACTAAAAAATACAATGGAAAATGACGATGCAATTACTGTGAAGAACTCCAAGGAAGAAATTAGTCGACTCACCAAAGAACTTCGGGAGAAAGAAAAAACATCTATGGAAAGTCTCAGAAAAGAAGTCCTGCGTCTCACGGCTGAGTTACAGGAAAAGCAGGCTCTGATATCCAAACTCCTGGACGTCGCTGGGAGTCAACATACGCAAATCCTGTCCATGAGCGCAGCGTATCATGACACTGTGATTTGGGACGGGTCTAGCTGCCCTGGACCATCTTCGTGTTCAACACCAAAACCTCCGGTTCCGAAGAACGGGATCATAGGCAGTGAGGAACCTCCTCACGCTGTGGTCCATACACTGAGTCTCTCAAATCGGTATGCAGCCCTCTCCGCGGACATCCCGGCTCCTTCAGCGCATTGTCCAGCAGCGCAGGTGTCCCAAGACCTGGGCTCGGGACCCCTCAGTGTGGCGCGCCCAGTTTTGTCCCCGGTTAAGACCGTTCAGCCAAGTAAATCCTCTCAGTCAACCTCACGCCAATCTGAGAAGTCATCAGTGAGGAAAAGGCTCTTAAAGGAAGCTGTTATAAGACGACATAGTGGTCCACTGGTTGTCACGCTCCCCCCACCGGACCGGTCACAGCAGCCCGAACGTGGAGCAGAGCGTCAAAAGCGGCGCTCGGATCCAACTCCTCGAGCTGCTCCAGCCTCTCCGGGAACACAACACAGGTCACACGCTACAGCCAGTTCACGTGTCTGCAGTCCCTCCAGCGAGCAGCAGCAACAACCCGGTCCTAAACTTCCAGCTCTCGCTCTTCCACCGGGTGCACAGAGCTGTCAGCCCGGAGCAGCGGCTGAGCGTGCGCGCTCTTCTGTGGGTCCAGTAGGGAATCAGTCCGCTGGCTCTGTCCGGCCTCCATCGCCCCGTATACGTCCACTCTTCCCCCCGACAACTTTAATTATAGGAGACTCTATCATTAGACACGTTCGGTTCTTCAATGCAGTCACTCACTGCATCCCTGGTGCCACTGTCCCAGATCTACTGATACGACTCCCCTCTCTGATGAAAACTTTTCCCGACACAATATCCACGTTGATTGTGCACGTGGGAATTAATGACATAAAATTGCAGCAGTCAGAGATAACAAAAAAACATTTCCTGGATTTATTTTGCTTCCTTCGTTCAACTGGATTGCATGTTTTTGTCTCTGGTCCAATCCCTGCTTTCAATCGAGGGGACTGCTTCTTCAGCAGAACTGTGGCACTAAATGTATGGCTGCAAACAGTGTGCAGCTCTTTTAACTTTGTATTCGTGGATAATTTTGGCCTTTTCTGGAGACGCTACAACGCATACCGCACTGATGGTCTGCATCCAAACAAATTTGGTACCAGATTATTTGTGGACTACTTGCGATACGTTGTACAGTGGGCCACGAGAAACAACTGACTGTTTACATCACAGCCTCCACCTTCACCGCCCCTCTCTACTTCCTCTTCACCGGGTGAGTACAACAACACGAACAGTGACCCCTATCTTCTCAATGGTGATATACCATTGCAAGGCATCGCATCTCGACCAGTGGAAAGTCACATTCCCTGTGTAAAGACTGTACCAAGATTGAATACCAGGAAAACTGTTAGAACGTCAAATCAAAGGAACCTGATTAATATCCCCTGTACACATGCATTGTCACGTTCCACAGAAAGTGATCTGAAGCTTGCTGTTCTTAATGTTAGATCACTTTGTAACAAATCATTCTTAATCAATGACTTCATATCTTTTTATAATCTTGATTTTATGTTTTTAACTGAAGCGTGGCTTGACATAGACACAGGAAACACAGTCCTAATAGAATCTGCTTCCCCCAATTACACATTTGAATTTGAAGCGCGTGCAAGTAAAAAAGGTGGAGGTGTATGCGCTTTGTTTAGGAATAGTATGGTTACCCGGCGAATGTCATTTGGGGATTTTTCATCATTTGAATATGTGTCGTTCAAAATGGAACAGAAAAGATCTCCTTCCATACTCTATGTGGTTATTTACAAACCCCCCCAGCACACTCAGATTTTATTGATGATTTTATCCAAATGCTTACAGTTGTATGTGTAGATTTTGATGCCCTGATCATTACAGGTGATTTTAATGTGCATGTGGACGATGTTTCTAATAGAAATACAAAAGAGCTCAATACTGTTCTTAAAAACTTTGGTCTCACACAGCATGTTAGTGGCCCCACTCACAGGAAAGGACACACTTTAGATCTAGTGATCACCAAGGGTGTTAACATTCCAAATTTAAATGTTGTTGATGTTGCAATATCTGATCACTTCTGTGTCTTCTTCGACCTATCTATTACGCCCAAGCCACTCAATGGGTCTGCAGTTATCCGTAGAAGACACATTAATGAAAAGACTAGTGCACTTTTTATTGATCATATTCAATTTGACCATGCCTCTTGTCTCACTG